TATAACGTATCATGTCTGGAGAAACTAATTGGAGTGCTGTGACATTATATGACAACTCCAATTAGCGAACCGCAGATAGAGCATACATCTATATGCTTCCCTGTAGTTACCTGCAGGTTCTCATTTATTTATACATCTCACCCTTATTTCTTAAGAGATGAATAACAACTGACAAATCTCGAATCTATCGAGAGCTCCGTAGAAAAATTTAAGTATTTCGTCTAAATCAGGGGAGACTCGTGATGTGTCTTAAAAGTACACGGAGAGAATTTTTTCTTAGAATTTATCCTGAAAATCATGGGACAATATTGCTAGCTATACAATAATTTATTTAAACATTTCTCATGAAAGGTTGCTCTCTGTCAAAAAAATAATCTCTTTAATATTTTATATTTCTTAATCTTTGTCTTAATCTTTTTATAACAAATGCATTTTTTCAACTCGTACAGAGAAAATATTATCGAGATAACAGAATAAAATTGTTAATTATCTAGTAGGTAAAGTTAACAAAATAAATATGTTTCTTAGTTCATTTACTTGCCAATAAAATTAACAAGGCATTTTGTTAATTGAGGAATGCAATGTTAAATTTATCCTTTTAAAGTTGATCTAACTTTCTGTGAAGAATTTATAAAATTAATTTTGTTCCAATTATTCAAGAAAAAACTTAGTCAACTCGTCTTTGATTTTTAAATATTCTTCACTTACTATGATTTTCAGGGTAAATTCTAAAAAAAAATTCTCTTTGTGCATATATATATATATATATATATATATGTAAAAAATTAAGGGAAAAACTTTCGAGATATGCCCTTCTCAACAAAGTCTAATTTTTGTAAAATCGAACGAATTAATGAAACTTTTTCACGAAATCACAAAAGACAATTTAGAGAACTCGTCGTGCAAAACCATGATTGTGACGACAGCTTTTCTTAACTACTACATCGAGTTTCCTTCTCGTAAAACTTTTTGTGAGCTTTTAAGAAATTTATAAATTGAGCACTTTAAAAACAGCAATTTATATATAGACAGATACGCGTGTAGAAAATATATGTGTATATGTAATTAATATTTTTTGTAATAGATATATAATTTTTAATATAACTCATGCTATTTATACCGTCGAGATACGCTTTGATAACAATAATTAGTACACTAATTAAAGAGCTCATGTAAGATGAAGAAATATGTGGTTTTCATTACATTAATTACTAAATAGGGTAAATTAGAAAAATTGCATTAAAAAAATAATCAAAAATCCCATTGATTAAAAGTGTGTTAAGTTTAAAAGTACTAGAAGTCCATTAAAATAATTAAATATTAAAAACTGCGATGTCAACGTCAAACAGTATCTATATATTATGTATATTAAAAAATTATTTAATTTTGATAAAAGTGCGATCCTCTTTTCTGAATTGTCATCCTGATTATATAAAGAATGTTTAGGGATCGCAACACTAACATTGCATACATAATACCTGAAGTGTTCTACATATTTTAGCCGACATCGATTCTACTATTATAGTACCTCGATAATATAAACGTGTTATAAAAGTTTACAATACAACGATGACAGTAACTATCACATCGATATGAATAAAAAATGAATTTTCGACAAATACGAAAATACACCGAAAGAAATTTGACAAAATTGGAGACGAATGTGCTCGAAAAAGTCTTGACATACATGAATTTGCGATACACCAGGAAGAATCCTGTGAATAATTCGAGAGTTCCGCTGACCTTCGGAAAAGTTGCGAAAGTAATGACATACATATACACATTCACACATACATGCGCATACAGAAAGAGCTTGTATAGCTATGGCTTTAATGCGGCTAAATGTCGCTGGGTCATTACCAAAAGGAAGTGGCCCATAAGATAAGATGGATTTCGTTTAAAAGGGGACACTTTGTCATGGTGACCGATTTTGGTGTCACTAATGGTTCTTTCCGAAAAGCCATATTAAATATAAGCACGCATACAGTAGAACGATTTGTGTTTTCTTGTTAAAACGATCCCCGTGAAAATTTTTATGTTAAATATTTAACATTTATGTGTTAATTTAACGCATTGCTGTTGTGTTAATTGAATTTAAATGTTAAATTATTAAAACAACTGAAAAAAGATGTAAAAATGACACAATGTGCATCAATTTGTAATTTTACACAATAAATATATTTTCTTTTATTAGTGACAAGATTTATCTGTTAAAAAAATGTTGATTTTTTATTTTGCAATATAAGTGGGAATGATAAAATCTAAAATTAACATATTTTTTGTTAATTTTTATATTAAACTTAACTGTTAATTTTACACAAAATTTATTTTAAATTACTTGAAGTTTTCTATTTATTTTGTGTTAAAATATTAACATAATATTTGTATCTCCATTTAATATCCATATAATCATTTAACATCCATTTAACATCCATCAAACATCTATATTATGTTAAATTAACACAAAAATTTCTGTGGACCGTTTGGGACATGTGATACCTGTTAAATTTAACACAAATTTTTTAAATAATTAAGCATTTTTCTCACAATCAATTCAACTAAGGCAACGTTTAAATTTAATTTAAACCCGTGTTCTGTAAATTCTCACGGCTTTGTGAAATGGATACAAATTAAATATACAGTAATAGTTCGGAATTTAATTAATATTTCGTGATTCATTTAAAAAAAATTGTAAAACTATTTTCTAGTCTTTCCCCTTATTTTATAATGTGTATAAAACGTAATATTGTGCGAATGCTATGAATGCTATGAATGCTACGAAGACGATTATTTTTCAAGTACTTATAAAGATTCAAATCAATATCAACGAAGGATTCTCAGGATGTTATTGAGAATTTGTTTTGGTTGTCGAACACACTAGAGAGTAGTTCGACTTGAAGAAGTGGATCAGAAGCACGGATGCGTTACGAACCTTCCACGATTAATACAAATTCTCGGCAAATACTTCAATACTCAAGAAACAACTATCTCTTATAACATTTTACAACATAATTATAATAATACATTCCATTTACAACATTATAATAATACATATATATTGTTACATAATAATGCATATTATTTTATAGATTTAATTACACAAATTATTCTATATATATATGTAAAGGAGAATTAATACCATAATTGAGAGTGCCTAATTAATAAGCGAAAAATAATCGAGAGCAATTTTCCATTTGTATTAATATCGCAAATAATAAAAAAATTCGATATGCAAATCATCGACGTTTCTGCGATCCGTATCGAAAAATTTCGAGGACTTTGAGTAATAACCAAAATAAAAAAATCCTTTTAAAAGATCTAATCGACAAATGCATGCATGTACACATACATGATAAATGTGCCGTGAGAGAATATCGCACTGCCCAGCTCAAGTATAGCTAATGTGAGCCAAGGCCGTCGATTAACAAGAAAGCCCGATTGAAGCGTTCGAATATACGACACTTCATGAATTAGAAAGTAAAGGAAATTAAAGAATTTATACTTATAAATAGCTTCTACAAATATGCGGAGGAGAGAGGAAAAGATATCCAAAACTATCACTAACAGTCTACCATAAAATATTCATTATTTTCATTCAATAATAATTATGCTGCGTAAAAATAATCGAGTAGATAAGTTAAATGTCAGAAATGTAAATCTGATATTTTTCGTGGACAGTCCATACAGTACAAAATATTTTTAAAATCTTTTAGAAATATTTTTAAAATCTTTTAAAAATATTTAATATGTTTCTATCGGACATAGAAATCCGCTTTTTCACGTTGAAATATTTTTGAATATAGATTTAAACTAATATTCAAAAATATGTATCAAATATTTAAGAAAATCTGATATTATCGATAAGAACATTTTTAGAAATATTTTTAAAAGTTTTTTAAAATATTCTAAAAAATGTAATCACAAAAAACTTTTAAATCATTTTAAAATATTCCTAAAACCATTTTAAAATGTTTTTATGCAATATTTAAAAATATTTTTTGAAAACATTCGTAATACCTATTTTGTGTTGTATGAGAGTTAAATGGACAGTTGAATATGTCTCGGGAAAAATCAATTTTTTTCAGATGAACGATGATTAAATATCTATGCAAGCGTCATATTATTTTTAAATAAAAAAACCGCTACATACAATTGCGAAGAATATAAATAAAATTAATGTCGGGTCAAATATCGCGTGACATTGTGGCCTCCTCAGATAATCAAGCAGGTGCATGGGTGGTTGATTAGGTTAAATTAAATGCGCAGCTGGATAGTCGGTATAACTCCAGATTCGAATGAGGCAGAAGATAATTTGCCATAACAGTTGATTAGGTCGATACGTTGAACAATATTGCTAATATTAAACGTAATTGTATCTATTGAATGCTGTTTTAATGAGATGTCAATTAGTTTCGCTCCAGGCAAAAATATATAGCGCGATCAAATGGAAAATTTCCTCTCGATTAAATAAGAACGAATAGACAGATATTTATCGAAATATTAATTATATAATGATAGATAATTTTCCGAGATTCATCAAAGTACGCATGTTTAAAAGTTATAATATGCAATTTTAATAATATGTATATCACACATATACATTGACTTTGTCAATTGATTTTTTTAATATCTATATTGCCGACAACAAAATAATGAAGAACAAATAACGAAATTACTAAATAAAATAATTTAATAATATAATAAAAAAATAATTCAATCTAATAAAGTATTGAGTTATATAACAAACGTTATATAACAGACGTATTGTATCTCTTTTTTATATTTTCATCGTTAATAGAAAACAGAAATCAAATTTCTTTCATTTCTTTCGTTCAATTAGATCTTGTGAAAAATCTTGTGTTGCGAATTAGTGGAGCAAAGTTTTATGCTCGCTCCATTTTATGAAGCAATTATATCAGTACATTTTTTTAATTAAATACAATTCAAGATAAATTACATAACATTCGTTTTGTTAATAGAATTTTGCATGATCGACTTACCTGCAATTCGAGCGGTCTCGCAAACTTCCTCATCTAATGTCCTTCATTTGCGCGAATCTGCAACAAACGACATACATTCCCATTATCGTATGAAGTCCGGAAAGTACAATTTCGAGCAGTGATTTCGTCTCTCGGATATATATGGGTTTTCGTGCGGTTTCATGCGCACTATTTTCAGTATCGATCTAGACCCGGCTACAAGAATTGCTTAAAATTCAGCACGAACTAGAAATGATTCTACGAGTTATACCGTCTTTTATCTATGCTCTCTCTGCAACGACTAGAGGCATAAGTTTAATCGCAGTTATCGATTAGTTCGTCACACAAAGGGACACATGATGTCATCGTACAACAGCGTATAAACTATACTCATTATCGATTTAAAAAAAAAACTTGCAACAAATGATGAAGCTTCGTTTCTTTACCGATAGATTGACTTTCGATTACGTAATTAAAAATGTAATAATCTGACATAATATTATATATAAACATTTACAACTTTATATCAAACAAAAATGGTTGCAATATTTGTTAACTTGACTAAAGCTTTCAACTAAATTACTGTTTTGTTAATTAAACATATATTAATATTTTAAACAAATATATCAGTATTTGAAGTCAAATATTTGTTACATTTAATATGCTATATTTAATTTAAATATGTTTATATGTTCAATTAACAAAATATTTAGTTGGAAGGTTTAAGTTAACAAATTTTTTTCGGTGTAATAAATAATAAAATTAAATTTAAATTGCATCGTGTGTATTAATTAATTATTTCAATTGTCATTTTTTAACTTTAATGTTTTTAATGCATTAATATTTAATAAGGATTGTTTTCGTCTCGCAGATATAATTTTAATTAAAAAAAATAAATATGCGACTTAAATAATTATTATTATAGATATTAATGAATACAAATCGTAATTGAATTTTTTATGGATACACGCAAGAAGATGAATATTCCTATATAGTTTTATCGCGTATTTATCGCATCCGGTTGCAACTTCATTAATGCATCAGACAGAAATGCGGATACTATACCGCTAAGAAGAGAAAAGAAAAAGTGTATCAAAGTAGCGCAAAGTAAAGGCGCGGTCAAAGGCAAGTTTTCTAGTCGTTTCTATACAGAGAGTTTTGCCTTTCATAAATAAATAAAAAAAAAGGAAAAATTTGCATCACAATGTGTTGTCTTGAAAAAAGAAAAAACCCAGGTCGAATTCACCGATTTTAAGATAAATTTCAAGCTTCACTAAAAGTGAGAAACTAACAAAGATCTCAAATTAAGTCTTAAATTTACAATTTTAATTTACTAGCATTATATATTAATTGACATAATAGAATAATGTATATGTTAATAATATTGTAATTACATTATTAAATATATACATACATTATACATTTACCGCAGAATAAATTAAAGGTTCGAAATTTGTTTAAAGAAGAGAATCTTATTGAAAGTTTCTCGGCTAAAGTTTAAAGTTTAACATTTTCTTTTCCTTGATCTCTCTGCGTGCGCATAATCGCGTAAAATATTGACTCTTAGCCGCGGTCTAATAAATTAACACCAAGTAGATTATCCTTGAAATTAACTATCATGTCAGACGGGCTCAAAATGAGTATCGATCGCTATCTGAGAATATGGAAGGATTCCCGGGGAAATATCATCTCTCTCGGAGACACTCCGATATTTACTTTTTTTCAATCATCGTCGCAAGATAAACAAATATAAACGGCAGCGCAAAATATCGATATTATGCACGTTATTTCATCAATTTCGATATATATTTTCATGAGATGGGAAACTACCTCGTTAACGTGCGTGCTCTGAAATTTGCAAAGTTTATTCAACGAAATTGAAATTCTTACAAGTAAACACTTGCTGTTTTGCGAAACAGAAAATGACGGTGAAAATTCGCGTCGAAATTAATGATTGGATTAAAAATTTAAAATATATATATCTCTAATTATATTTTATTTAATTCATAAAATAAATTAGATAAAATATAAAATATAATTTAATATAAAATATACATTAATTTCGGTATATTAATACCTAATATTTAAGATAGAATACACAATGTTTTCTGTGATTAGGTGTGTTCTAAGTAAAATATATATTTTTCTTTTAATGGATATCGGAAATTCGATACGAGTGTCGCCTTTCACTTCGGCAAACAAGAAAAACTCGAGAAATCGTTTATTTACAGATCGTGATAAGGAAACTGTAGACGAGTTCTGACAGAGAACAAGGCGGCTATCGGCCCAAATTCAACGTGTCGGAGAAACGATGACGTGCGCGTCTCACGCGCGAGTAAACCTGCCACCGGAAATCCATAAAGTCGTGCGATCGCGGGGGAGTTCCTCTTCATACTACACGTGAGTACAATGAGGAATTCAATTTGGAGCATTGAAATTCCGCGTGAATCGCGTCGCGACTCGACTCCGTAAAAGGACGGGATGCGCAGAATCGCATTGTCGCGACAGGACGCAAAGTGATGCGCGACGTCCGATCCGAGGGAATTTTTTTTTCCGCCTCGACAAAAGCAAGTCGTAAAATGTATCTCCGTTTAAACTAGTAATAGTACGGGACTCGGAGATTTTAAAGAACGTTCAAATCGGCACATTGAAAACAAAATTTATTTAATTCGAATCAGTATTTATTTCAATACTGTCAAATGAATCGTTTATCTGAATAATGTTTATTTAACATGAAAAATATTTATTTAATATAAGAAAATTCTTTTCAAAACAAATAAATATTTATTTGTTTCAAATAAATGATTCATTTGGCAGTATGGACTAAATATATATTAATTTAGTCATTTTTTTCTATGCACGATTTCGAACCGAACGCAGTTGAAATATTTGTATTAAATTTAACAGATATCACATAATGTCTCAAACGATCCACAGAAATTTTTGTATTAATTTAACACAATATAGATATGTTAAATAGAGGTACAAATATTGTGTTAATATTTTAACACAAAATAATTAATGCAAAACTTCAAGTAATTTGAAATAAATTTTGTGTAAAATTAACAGTTAGTTTTAATGTAAAAATTAAAAATATGTTAATTTTAGATTTTATCATCCTCACATTATAAAATAAAAAATCAACATTTTTTGTTGTAAATTGTGTAAAATTGAAAATAGATGCACATTGTGTTATTTTTACATCTTTTTTCACACAGTTGTTTTAATAATTTAACATTCAAGTTCAATTAACACAACAGCTATATGTTAAATTAACACCTGAATGTGTTAAATATTTAACACAAAAATTTTAACGAGGACCGTTTTTAATTGTTGCTGTTTATCTGTTAACTTTAAAGATTTGTCATTCATTATCACATTGGTATTCAATAATATACAATAGAATATATGAATTATATCGACTTCGAATAAATAAATTAGAATTTAGAACAATTAATGGTAATATAATAGAATTTAAAACATGCTTTTATCCTAAAACTGAAACAGAATGTGTGATTTTTCTCTATTCTTCCTTTAAAAAGTTAAAATTAAAAATTGATTTAAATTAAAAATATTATGTGCATATTATGATTAAAAAAATTATGCATTCTTATTTTGTAAAAAAAAATTAACTTGACTAAACCGTTCAAAATAATATTTTGTTAACTAAACGTATAAAAATTTAAATAAAATATATCAAAATGTAAGAAAACGTGTGTATATTTGACTTAAATACTAATTTATATTCAATTAACAAAATAGTACAAATTTAGTTAAAAGGTTTAGTCAAGTTAATAATTTTTTCAGTATACGCAATAAAAAAAATGAAACAATTCGAAATATAAAAGCAATAATTATGCAAGAATTATTCAAGGATAAAAATGATGTAAAAAAATGAGAAAAAAATAATGTTTCAGATCGGAGGTCCAATTCGGCCGCAAAGATCCCCCCGAGCGATCTAGTCGATCGTAATGCAAAATCGATCGTGCTCGGGGGGAGGCTAAAGGGATGCATCCGGCAGATTTTTTCAACGAGAGGAGTTTCCGGAAACAATAGACTCTTCTCGAGACAATCAGCGATCTCGAAGTAGAAATCGCGATTACCTTGCTCTCGATCTTGAAGACTATCGCGACTGATAAAAATCAGCACACACGCGAGGCATATTATTATATAATATCAATCTCGATCGAGATCTCTTTCTGCTTAACGAAGCGGAAAGAGAATTACGCAGCTCTAGAAAGAGGAGGAAGAGGATAATTAATTTCAGCGACGCTAATTAGCCAGCTATTCGATGTTATTTGCGAGGAACGGGAAGAGACGCGGATTAGGATCGTGCTTATCGGATCGACGATAAAGGACGGGATAAAATGCAGAAGATAGCGGTGATGGCCGCGATGCAAAAGGCCCATGCCTCTCATAACGGCAGCAACATTTATGGGGATGCGAATAATAACGCCGTGCCGGATTCCAACGGCTCGTCGTCGACCAGCAAAAGCGGTCGCTTCGATGCGGATCTGCACGGCAACGTTAACATTCTTCTTGGTTGGTGAGTAACAATCGCGCCAGCCGATGCCAAGGATGGCTAGGACGGTTCGAAGAGCAAAACACATTAAACACTTCCGAACGCGAAGATGGACCTCTTCGATCAATCGATTTTCTTCCTCACAATCAGTCCCAATCTTTCACAGTAGACTGAAAAAAAAAGTGTCGACTTGACTCAACCTTTCAACTAAATTACTATAATTTGTAACAGTTGGTTTTAGAAAATTTTAATTTACAAATAAAAAGGCAATAAGAGCTAAATAATTTCTATACTAGAATTATATTTGTGAAAAGATTTATAATATAAATTATTAAATATTATACAGAAGTAAATTCGATTCGTCGTACGTTTCGGTTGTCTTTTTCAACCTTCGTCAGCGCAAAAAATAAATTATTCATCAATGTCATTATAATAAAAATATACGGAGTCAAGTTATATGCTAACACCCGAGATCAACGCATTTATAAAGCAAGAGCATTTTTAGTATATATTTATTCCTCGCAACGTCATTATATGTAATCGTCGCGAAACAGATTTCTCGCTAATTGTTCTGTTAGGAGGTCGGTTGCGAATCTCAATAACAGCCATTGTTAATATGTTTATAAAATCATGTATACGAAAAATTAACATTAAAGATAAGTAAATTAATGAAAATAGACTTACAGTTAAATCGAGTAAGATGTTATATTGTGACGTGGTTTAATAATTTATGTTATAAATCTTTTCACAAATATAATTCTAGTATAGAAATTATTTAGCTCTTATTGCTTTTTTATTTGTAGATTAAAACTAAATTACTATTTTGTTAAATCAACATATATACATTAGAAATACAATAAATGCATTAGAAATAAATTAAAAAGCGCCGATATTTAACTTCTCAACAAATTTTTTATTATTTATATCAATGTGAAATATTTTACATGTGATATGTCATATAAATATAAATAAATAAATCTAGTATATATGTATTTAAGTCAAATATATGTTTTGTTCAATTTAATATGTTATATTTTATTGAAATATTTTTTATAGATTCAATTAACAAAATAATATTTAGTTGAAAGGTTTAGTCAAGTTGACACATTTTTTTTCAGTGTGGAAAAATTTGTTTTCTTGTTAAAATCGGTCCCCGTGAAAATTTTTGTGTTAATTAAACTTGAATTTTAAACTATTAAAACAACTGAAAAAGATGTAAAAATAACAATGTGCATCCATTTTCAATTTTTCACAATAAATATGTATATACTGTTTTATTAGTGACAAGATTTATATGTTAAAATTTGCAGAATAAAATGTTGATTTTTTATTTTATAAGTTAAATAAAATTGGAAATGATAAAATCTAAAAGTAACATATTTTTAGTTAATTTTTACATTAAAACTATGTTAATTTTACATAAAATATGTTTTAAATTACTTGAAGTTTTGCACAAAATAAATGTATTTTACGTTAAAATATTAACACAGTATTTGTGTCTTCATTTAAAATATCCATATTATGTTAAATTAACACAAAAATTCCTGTGGACCGTTTGAGACATGTAATATCTGTTAAATTTAACAGAAATTTTTCAACTGTGATTCAATCCTTTGGCGTATACTGTAATCCATACACAGAGAAAATTTTCTCTTAGAATTTATCCTGAAATTCATGGTAATCATGGAACAATATGATACTGAAAGAATTTTATAATAGTTTTTCTAATTAATATTTTTATCGCGATAAATGAATATTAATATCTACCGTAATAGATATATTTGATTAATTTTATTAAAATATATATGTAGTAAAATTTCAATAATTTTTAAATATATGGAAAACTTGTGATTTTTTAAAATGTTTTAAATAGACCAGATGCTGAAAAAATAATAAACATATAAAATATTTTATATAAATTTTACAATGCAACATAATATTTTCAATTCAGCTTAATCGTTCATGATAATTTTAGGTAAATTTTTAACGAAAAATTCTCTCCGTGTATATTAAATTATCATTGCATGCCTAAATAGCCAGTAATTATTATTCGATGAATTATTCCGCGAAGGATAACAGATTCAATAAATACGTTAGAAATAAATTAAAAAGCGCCGATATTTAACTTCTCAACAAATTTTTTATTACTTATTTATATCAATGTGAAATATTTTACATGTGATATTTCATATGAATATAAATAAATAAATCTAGTAAAGATATTACTAAATTACTAATATTTTTTCTAGAACATTTTTTAAACATATAATCATTGTATAAAATCTTCATTAAAATATTTAAAATTTTTCTTCCTGATTTTATGTACATTTTGCGAAATGTTAATAATGTTTTGCAAAGCAGAGTTGAATTAAACAGTTGGAAAAAGTTCTACTACTTCTATTATAGTATATAGAATTATAGAAGTACAGAGGAAATAAACACGTCGTTAAATCTCGGGTAATAAATTTTTATCACAGCTTGCTTTAACAATTTGAGATAAGAGACTTCAGTACAAATAACTGTTAATTACATGTAGTTATAAGTATGCGTTATGCATGATATATATATCGAGAGTGAAAGAAAGAAAAAGAGCTAGTTATTTGATTTTTAAATTATTTGTCGTAATAAAACTCTTAAAGTCAAGACAGATTATAGTTGATACAATAATTGTTCTGTTATCCTGTTGTCTCTCAAATTAACACCTGTTGTTCTTTTAAATTTCAATGAATCTTTTAAAAAATTCCTTAGTTGTTAATCCCGTAAATTAACATCTGTTAAAGTACAAGAACGTGCTCAAGATATTTTTGCGCAATACAGAGTCTTATTTTTTCATTCTCAATCGCTACAGAAAGTTATTCGTCAAAATGTAGCAGGTGTTAAAAGTGACCGTTTTACATCTAATCGTGTTTAAAAAATTCCGATCCCTTCGGGAAAAATCGCACGCTCACTTTTTCACCAGTCACCTGTCCTTTTATAGCGTAGCAGCCTCGTTATTTTTTTCCCCTCGGGCGTATACGGGCACCTTTTTGCACAAAAAGCACCCGTCTAAACATCGTCTATATTGGTTCGCTTTTAGCGCCATGATCAGCGGTGTGATCATGATGGTGGTGCTCATATGCTACTGCTGTCACAAGAACGTCCGGAAGCATCGACCGCAAGAGTACTCGCAGTACTGGAGGGCCGAACCAGACATTCATAGTCTAGAAGTGTTCACCATGGACACACATGCTATGGTAAGCGAGAATTTCTCGATCGAAACATTATTTTCATCGTAAATATTGCGCAAATCTTTCACGTCGAGCTGTTTGACAAATAAAATCGGTGGAAATAAAATTTCATTAATTTTTGAGAAGATATATATACCGAAAAAATCTTTCACTAAAATTTGTATTAAATTTATTTATACATATGTCAAAATCAAAACATTTATTTTATTTTTATTATTGTACGTATTTTTACATGGCATGGAGATTTTTTATTTCATAGTTTTGGAGTGATTGACACATGTCATCTCGATCGAAAGATTATTTTTATCGTAAATATTGCCCAAATTCGAAATTACAATTTTTAATGTCTGAGCTTCTTGACAAATAAATCGGCGGAAATCAAATTTTATTAATTTTTGAGAACATACAACGAAAAAATCTTTTATTAAAATCTGTATTATTAAACGTACGTCGAAATTAAAAAATTACATATCTAAAAAAATAATTCCAAACATATATTAATTTATGCACTGTGAAAAAAATTGTTAACTTGACTGAATCTTTCAACTAAATATTATTTTGTTAATTGAACATATAAAAATATTTAAATTAAATATAACATATTAAATCTAATAAAACATATATATTTGACTTAAATACTAATATAAGTTCAATTAACAAAATAGTAATTTAGTTGAAAGATTTAGTCAAGTTAACAATTTTTTTTCAGTGTGCGCTTTGTTAGGTATTTTTGTGTGCAAATGTACTTTTAATATTTTATTTTAATTACTGTACGTATTATTTGCATATATATGTCATGGAAATTTAAAAATTTCCACGATATGTCTGTGCTCAGAATTAGAACAAAATCAATTCAAAATTCATCAAGGTAGCGATTTGTTATCGTTGCATATATATATATATATATATGTATATACATATATCTGACGTTTGATTCACGGGAACCCTTCTATTTTCGGTATTAAAAATCACCATAATGAGGTCCCGCTGGACGTTTTCCAAATTTTATCCACATTTACCCCGAAGCATCTCTTCCGAAAATACTTACTATGTCTGGGACATTCTGAGTAATCAGATAAGAATATATATCGGCTCTCAATATTAATAATAACTCATTAATATTATTTTTATTATTCTAAGTAATGTTACATGTAGCTACTCTTAAATCATACCACCTACTCGACGTGTTCACCGCGAGAGTCGCTATATATTTTCACATACCGACCTTTTACGCAACCTCTCACAGTCACTCACCTCTCTGTGGTTGCGAACGCAATTAAATAAAAATTCGCATATCTCGTAGAAACCACGCCCTCACATTACATGTAAAAACACGCCGCGAGAACAGCGGCTCGAATTGTACGCCGCAATGCGACAATGTGCATACTTTGCACCTTCATCTTAAGAAGTCTTCAAGTTCACAGACACAATGAAATCTATATATAAAGATGTAAAATACAAAGAACAAGACATAAAATACATAACATTGCTTAGAAATAAATTATAATATCAATTAATATGTGTTGTAGTGACATAAGAGAGCTACTAAAAAATTAAAAAAATATAAAGATTAAAAATTGATCAATAATTAAAAAATATAATTAAGAAAAAAAATATATACAAGTGCTCATTTGTATTCTTACGTGGATAATTTATTAATTATTATATATGATTTACATAATATACCTATGATTTTTTTAGATAATAAACACAGAGAGAATTTTCTCTTAGAATTTATATTCTGAAAATCACATGGTAATCGACAATATGATATTAAAAGAATTTTATAAGAACTTTTCTGATTAATATTTATCGCAATAAAAAATATTCATATCTATTACAATAATCTATGTATGTAGATAAAATGAATCGAACATATTTTACGAGTATATCTTATTGTGGTAGATATTAATATTTTTTATTGTAGTAAATATTAATCACAAAGAAATTCTTATAAAATTCTTCCAATGCCATATTGTCCCACAATTACCATGATTTTCAGAATAAATTCTAAGAGAAAATTGTCTCTATGTATGAGCTACAAAAAAAATTAGAAAAAATAAAGATTAAAAATTTGTCAATAATTTTAAGAAATTAAAAAAAATATATATATGTACGAATATTCATTTATATATTATTACACAGCTAATTTATTAATTATATTATTTACAAAAGATATGACATTTTAGATAATATACACAAAGAGAGAATTTTCTCTTAGAATTTATCGTGAAAATCAGTATAATCGACAATATGGTATTGGAAAAATTTTAAAAGAGCTTCTCTGAATAATATTCACCACAATAAAAAATATCTATCACAATAATCTACCGCAATGTACATAGGTAAAATTAATCGAACATATTTTATATCTTATTGCGGTAGATATTAATATTTTTATTGTGGCAAATATTAATCAGAGAAACTCATAAAATTCTTCCAATATTATATTGTCCCACAATGCACGATTTTCAGAATAAATTCTAAGAGAAAATCCTCTCTATGTATATGAACTATAAAAAAATTTAGAAAAAATAAAGATTAAAAATTGGTCAATAATTTAAAAAAAAAATATATATATATATATAAATGTTCATTTATATATTATTACGCTAATAATTTATTTAATTATATATGATATATTTACATTTTAAATTTTAATATTTATACACTGTAAAAAAATGTGTTAACTTGACTAAACCCTTCAACTAAATATTATTTTGTAAATTGAACATATAAACATATTTGAATTAAATGTAACATATTAAATCTAACAAAACATTTTTTTGACTTAAATCGTAAAATATTTAAATAATATTTGTATTTATGACAGATCGCTGCCATGCGATTGTTTAACTGTAAAATGTAAATTGTTTCCAAACTTGTGAAGAGTACTATATGCAATAAATAACAAATATCCATTTATAAGATTGTTTTTTGTTCTCACGATTAATAATATTTCAAATAATATACTGATAAAAAACATTTCATTAAATTTATATTCTTGCATGTTACGAATATCTAATTAAAAAAGATTTCTCTCTCTTTAGAAAATTTCTTTCTTAAATTAAGAGGATCCTTTTGACATCTGTGCGGATTTTTTGTATAAATAAATCATAAAATAAACATAAAATATTTAAATGACATTTTTATTTATAACAGATCACTGCCATGCAATTCTTTAACTGTAAAATAGTAATTTAGCTGAAAGGTTCAGTCAAGTTAACCAATTTGTTCACAGTGTATTTCTCGTTCATTCTCATTTCACTTTGACATCTCTAACAATCCCGTTTCTTTCCAGCAGTGCCTCGAGAGATCGGCGGGGACTCAGGCCCATCAGGAAGAAGGAGTGCCCACGTCTCTTCCGGCGTGTCCCGTGACCTCGGGCCCACCGCCGGCTTACGAGAGCCTCATCTTCGACCCTCGGGCACTGCCCTCGCCTACGGACAAGAAAGACGAGTCCGACGATCCCGGTAGCATCATCTCGCCCCCGGTTAGCAGCCTGCCCAGCGAATCGGAGGCTAATAGGATCAACAAGCGAGAAGATGTCCCGAGGGACGATCAGGGTTTGCCTTCCTACGAGGCCGCCCTCAAATTAGAAGCCGACGGCTATGTTTAAGGTCTGGACGAGGATCGGAAACTTGCCTCAAACTGCGGATCTTGAATCGCGAATTTTTAGAAAGCGCCCCCGAGTCGTGGATTTCATCGGATATGAAACTTCGTGATCGGGACGTGGGCGACTCTGTGATTGGCTGTGAACGATGACTGGAGGCAGCTGAAGTCAACATTCACGCGAAAATATTTGTAAGACTTGCTATTCCGAACCGGAACAGAAACCTGAGATTGGATTCTTAATAAAAAAAATGAACGAAGAGATGAGCTTATTTTTCGAGCTCGATTTGCCATCCAAAAATAAGATACAAGAGAAACTTGGGAAAATACTGAGAGAAATCATTTATCTCTATGCTTGAATTTAAGATGCATAAAAAAAATACAGAATGATTTTAATCCAAAAGGTGAAAGAAGAAAAATAGGTATAGCGAGATTTATTTTTGAAACCCAGTTATATAGATAGATAGTATATAGATTTTTTTTATATAGAAAATTCTATATTAAGAACATTCTAAAAAAATAGAAATGTTTTTTTCTCGAATCTTTTATAGAAGGATTTTCTAATAATTCTTCGTAAAAATAATAAATTACAAAAAAATAAGTGCCTAAATTCGTTCTTTTTCGGAGAACGTAAATAAAAGATAAGATAAAAGAAAAACGTTGAGCAATTTTTCAAAAGTATGCAGTGTTTTTTTTTTACTTTTAATTAAGTAAAACGACACGTAAAACTTTCGCGTGATTTTCGACCGATAAAATATAATAAAAAAAAATGTTTCGTAAAAAATGCAATATTTCGACTTTTCTATTTTTCGATGATCTCTATGATTAAACGTATCGATAAAATTTTAAATGTAAATTGTATATGTCGTAGGACTATGTATATTCAATTTTAAATATAGAATGCGCCGTAAATGAATATAGACAAGCACGTAATAAAGATATATGTCAGTATATATATGTATATGAAAAAAAAAAACGGTATTGTACGTGCATACAAGTTGTATAGTCAGCGAAGAGAAAGACCTAATTTCACAGGTAATTACATTTTATAGGTACTAAGGAGGAGAATTCTTAACGGCATATTTTTCTCTCGTCGGTCATTAGTTTAAGAGAGCAACGGGAGAGAGCATACACAAAACGCGACACCGTTATATAGCTTAGTATGAGTTTCCGTTTGAATAAACAATGTACAATCGTGATAACGTAAATGATATCCATTTCGCAAAATGGCGCACGACATCCCGGAATTTATGTGCATTTCGTTGAGAGACTGTTCCAAAGCCATACCATTTTACATGTAACTTTTCTCCGTATATGATAGGTGAATATGTAAATGAAGAGCCTGTGCATTATGTACATTCGATATGCATTTTCAAGCGTGCCGCGGCATACAACAATCGCGCAATGATGATTTATTATTATATGTATGCCGAATATTATGCAGCGAGCATCATCGATAAAATTATATCTGTCACGAGCGAAGTGACACTAATTTGATTCATTTACATTAATATAAGATATTATTGCGCACTGTATGAATTTGCAAATTGACAATTATGATTTTTTTGCAATTTCTATCTCTCAATTACAACTGCAATAATAATTAGTGCAATGTGTTGTTAAAGAACGTCGATAATCTTGTGTAAATAATAATCGCTATATACATTTCTCTCTCGCTTTGTATATATATTATTAAATTTCAACAGTTTAAACACACAGTCGAATCGTGAGATCATTTCATTTGGACTTGCTTAATTGCGATAGCAATTAGTCGCAACAGATTCCTCTCCCCAAAAAAAGAAAAAAAAATAATAGCTTTGATATCTGGAAGAAAAAAATGTTTGCGTGCTTGAAAAGGCACTTTATCGAACAAATCGCGCGTTTTATCGAACCGGCTAGCTGCGATAAAATGCGATGCTTTTGCTAAGAGCCGCCTTATTTAAGGAGCGCGATATACAGCAACACGAAAATTATGCAGTAAAAGCTTTAATTGAGCAGACGAGTGGTCCATTAGCGCTCGCTATTATTCATTAAATCTTTTTTTTCTGTGTCAGCAATATTATTTATGTATATTATAAAAGTATGATCTAAAAAGAGGAGAGCGAGTAGCTCTAATCCTGTATTAATCGTTCAAAATTGTCGATGTAACTTTAACACAATTACATTCTATAAAATGTTAATATTATGCAACGAATGAGAACCCAGAAAAGTCATTTATTTCGAATCTTTTGTAGAACAGCAGATTTAATTAATCATTTTTGCCGCACGAGATCATGATATTTTAATCCGACTGAAAAATCTGTCGTGAAAAATTAATGGTAGGAAAATAGAACATCTTATATATGTATACATTTACATTGTCACGTGCTTTTATGATATCTCGATTGTAGGAAATTGATGAGCGCGATGAGATCGCGATGAGAAAACAACACAATACATCATACAAACGTATCCGACGATAAATACGAGTAAAATAGCACGATATCGAGGCAAACTATAATTCAACAATGATTGCGCTGTGTCAATGACGATAAATCTAAGAGCGTAGTTACGTGCACGCTATCACATGATCGGTGTGATTCATTAGGCACACGCGTACAGGAAAAGTGCAGTCTGCGACTGGTACAAACACGATGTTACAAATACATATTTAGAAACAGCTCGTATTTTAAAAATAGCATTCAAGCTTGCCATATTTTTCCCTTAAATGATTCAATAATTCGTGAAATTTTTCTTTCCTTTTGTTATATCTATAGATTTTTAATTTATACCCAGAGAGAATTCTCTCTTCGAATTTACCCTGAAAAGCATGATAATCATGGGACAATATAATGTAACCACAATAAAATGCAAAATATATGTTCGATTAATTTTATTATGTACATATTAATATTTTTATTGCGGTAAATATTAATCGGGGAACTCTTATAAAATTATTCCAATACCATATTGTCGATTACCATGATTTTCAGAATAAATTCTAATTGTAAGAGAAAATTCTCTTTGTGTATATTATCTTAAAAAATTATATATTATGTAAATCACATAATTATGAAATTATTCGCGTAATATAAATAAACATTCGTAAATATTTTTTAAATTATATAAATAAAATATATCCTGAAAATCATGATAATCGACGATACGCGGTATTGGAGAAATTTTATAAAAGTTTCTTTCATTAATATTTATCACAATAAAAAATATTAATACCCATTTACCACGATAAGATATAAAATATGTTCGATTGATTGCATAGTAAAATTTATTATACATACATATATTAATATTTTAATTGTAATAAATATGAATTAGAGAAACTTTTATAAAATTCTTCCAATACCACAATGTCCCACAATTATCATAATTTTTAGAGTAAATTCCAAGAGAAAATTCTTTCCATGCATAAATATTTCATGTAATCAGAGATACAAACTAAAAATATTATAAATTAATATTTATTAACTTAATTTCATAGCACAGTATATATATTTTCAAGTATAAAAGTTAACTTTTTTTATATCGTACCGTTTAAGAATTAGTGGCCGAAAGAGATAAAAATCCTGAAAGTAATTATCAAAAAAAAAAAAAAAAAAAAAAAATACACGCACACGATGTACAAAAGAATCAAGTAGAATGCAGAGGTAAAGGATAAAATAACGTGGCATATTTTTAAAATCAACGGCGAAACGCCATCGAGATACGACATAAAATTATATACCGTGACGTGAATAATTACAGAAAAGCAAATTGCGATTTACGGGTGCGTTACTTCGTCGACGTATATAGTTTTACCGTAAAACAAGCACTTGGTCTTCATACCTATACATACATAGGTGAAATAATATGAAACGTAAAATCAATATTACGATTCCACGTAATCAATATCCTCTCATCGCACGTCCTTTGCGCGAAATGGAGCCAAACTGAGAAAATATAATAATTTCAGTCTATGATTGGAATGAAATCCGAGACTCCCCGTAACGAGTTCGCATGGAAATACCTAATTGCTAACGATGATGCTACGCGTGCGATTCGCCTCGGATATGTCGTAATTAGATTAGATTTACACAGAATAACCCGTGTTTACATTTCCCAACGGTGTAACGCAGAATTGTGCCACTTGCTCCGTTATCAATTTAGCTAGTCGCACGACAGCATACACGTTTCCACAGATAAGCCGGTATGTATTGTATATGATCCTCTTTTAGAATGCATATAATGCCGCTCTGTGAAAGATATAGTAGAAAGAAAGATAGATGTTTGTAATACAATGCGATAACGTTAGCAGTAATTCTCAGAGTGTATATATTTTTAAAAAGTAACAATTCATATATGAGCATTAAAATATATAAATTAGAGACTAGAAATATTAAATCAAAAAAATTTTATTCAAGCAATAGATATCGAGGCAAATATTAATTTTAAAAAAACCGTTCAAATTGGAAGCGTGATCTTGGAGCAAAAAAAATGTAAAGTTTCTTCAAACTTTACAAATTTAATTATTTGAAAGAGAAATTAAAATTTTTTCAGTATTCGCAATTTTAACTATTGTATAGGCGAAATAAAACTTATATATAAGGATACAGATAAGTTGTTAAATAAAATAAATGCCGCGCACAGAATTCCCAATAAGTTTGGTAGAACGATTGCGCACAGTTTATTTTTCTCTCTGGACCCCATAAAATATACTGTCGGAAAATTTTCCTCCGTGGCTCCTCATTAAGTTTCAATCGGCCATTAAATGCATCGGTATCGCTTGATGCGCGTGTACACATGCATTATTCAGCAACAGTTCGGCGATTGTTCCAACGAAAGAGTAGAGTAACCCGATTTTCGTGCAGCATCACAATGTATACATATATCACGGACACAATTTTCTCTTAGAATTTACCCTGAAAATCATGGTAAATAGTGGGGCAATATGGTATTGGAAAATTGTATAAAAGTTTCTCTGATTAATATTTACAATAAAAAATATTAATATACATTTTATATTTATTTAGTCAATTTTACTACACTGAAAAAAAATTTATTAACTTGATTAAACCTTTCAACTAAATATCTATTTTGTTAATTAACCTATCTGTATATTAGTTTTAAGGCAAATATACGTTTTGTTAGATTTAATGTTATATTAAATTTAAATATTTTTATATGTTCAATTAACGAAATAATATTTAGTTGAAAGGTTGTCAATTAAACAAATTTTTTTAGTGTATGTATATGTACATAATAAAATTAATTGAATGTATTTATTGTGGTAGATATTAATATTTTTTATTATGATAAATATTAGATTATATATAATCAGAGAAATTCTTATAAAATTCGTCCCATATTGTCTCACGATTACCATGATTTTCAGGGTAAATTTAAAGAGAAAATATTCTCTGTGTACAAACTGACCCACGAAACTTAAAGCGTATACGAATAGACAAACAGAATCGCGATAAACGTAAAATGATCATCCATGTGTGAGATAATAGGATACGGGGATGGACTCATAAGCATCAATAACGCGATTTATGTCATCGCTCTCAATTAAAGCGACCTTTATTATACTTGCGTCTAAATCAACGGTGAAGACCGTGAGATGTTCACTGGTGAATAACAAACTACCTATTCTTGTTAGTTGCAAAATTGATAAAATCAACATGAAAATGCCAGCAAATTATAAAATTTTAATTATTGAAATAAAATTACTTGTTTTATATGCACCTCGTACCTATATAATTTTAAGTTTCGTTTGATGTTTGTAACTGCTGCATTTTAGTTTGCAAAATATGACAAAATTTGTCGGAAATGCCATTAAATGTACAAACGTGTATAAACAGCGTTCGATTTAGTATTTCTCCCTAATAAGAAAGCGTTTTAATTCGTCTAATATTTTTTTATTTATCGAAGCTTTTATCAGAGTCAATAAATATCGCGGAAACAGAGAGACAAAACTACGCAATGGAAAACCTCCCTCAATAACATCAATCAATATCGTTTTAACATCGTTGAATAAAAAGTGAAAATTATAATGATCACGAGTTATAATAGACAAGATTTTTATTGGCATATATTGTTAAGTAAGAGCGACATAATTAAATTCTCTTCGTAAATATACGAAGAGTAATATATCTGTCACACAAAGCTGATATTATATACTCATCATCGATCGAGTTTTATGAGTGCAGTATCCATGTCACGAGCCGAATTGTTTCAATGATCGTTGGCACTATTTCAATTTAAGTAAAAAACGATACGTGTGATAAGTAGATATCGCACCATATGTTATATCATATATGCCACATACAGATGTCTGTATTTTTACCAATGATATTAAGCCGCGACGAGATAGAATGCATTAAAGTAATGCGATCCAACATGCTACACTTTAATATAATAATACAATATATGGTTTTTGATAAAAAAAAATGGTTATTATTGCTATAGATATTATTCGTATGCGCAAAGATAAAGAAATATGCAATATTTGCATAATACGAATAATAAATGAAGAAAAATACAGATAATGACAAAGTAATTAACGTAAAATAAATTTGATATCGTTCAGATAATAATTTCATTATTATTGGCAGCTAAGTTTTGTTATAATTTCAACTTCATTGGAAAGTTAAATTTATCGTTTAATTACATATTTTTCAAAATAAGATTTAATTTAATAGAAGTAAAAATCAAAAGAAGAAAGTGAGAAAAAGAGAGAAAAAGTATT